ACGCTCTTTTATATAGAGAATTTCTATTTCCTTTAATTTTAAAACTCGCAGAGAAAATTATGCGATTTCTACTATTTGCCCGCGGCTTTCTCTAGCGAACAGCCACCGTATAATCTACAATAAAATTGAAAAACGTGTTATAAACCGATGCCTCCGTTTTATCGTACTCGTATATATGCATTAATCATGGCAATGACGCCTCCTGTAAAAAGACGACCGCCGTAATCTACGAGCGTCGTCCGCGGAACGATCCCGCCGCGTTTTTACCGCACCTCGTCGTGGAGCCGCAGCACGTGAGTTATGCGGCTGCAAATAGCCAGGTAATTATAATTACGCGTTCCGCGCGCGCCTTCGACCGGCCGATCGCATTCACTACGCTTTTACAATCGGCCGGGATTAATAGATCGGCATGGTATGGTTATAAATTAAGGCGGGGTGCGACGGCGCTACTCTCTCGCAGCGTTGATCTTACAAGGTGTTTAAGCACATCTCTCGCCTCTCGCTTCGTTGATACATCGCCGCGAAACCGACACGCACGACCCAAGGCTCCGCTTAAGGTATATAAATATAAAAATATGATGTATATATATAAAGCAGAAAATATAACGTTATCGCGATATACAATAAAATAATAACAGTAATAGATGATGCTCCCACCGAAAAGCGAACGATTAAAAGATTGTTAATTGAATTATTTACTAATCCATTAAATTAGATTAGTAGTTTTGTGTCTATCAGAAATATAGGTCGACACAATGAAATGAAAGTGAAAAATATAAGGTATGCAGAAATAAAAATGCAACGTTAATACAATAAGATAATAATTATAACAAGCGTCAGATCTGATTATAAAACAATAAAGTATAGAATAATAGTTTCATGAACGTGAATAAAATGATTTGGTAATTTCCGTAATATCAAATATTAAAGAATATAAATTCTGTTCTACTTTTTTGCTGCAAAAACTGCAACACCGTCCTAGTTTTGTTGCCTATTCTTAATATCTTATTCTTTCATTGCATTGTGGGCTTTAAGGTCACGACGTGAAGATGCCTTGGCCGAAGAAAAATCCACCTCCGTAAAACATCAATTACATATGTGCAACGATGATTGCTACCTCGCGCGCGTGGTTAATTGACAATCGTGCATGGGTGATCGCTATCGAAACATCGCTGTAAAATTTTTGTGTGAATATAATAAAAACAACGCACCGAGTAACAAGCAAGTGTAGATTAAACCGCGCTCGTGTTTTACTCTTTTTAATCAGCTGTCCGCGCCATAACTCATTCGCCAATTTGATCGTGTATATGTACGTGTACTTTAATTATTGGTTGCACCGTATGAGAAAAGGGTTTTTTTTTACATCGAGACGTCGTATAAGGAACGTTTGCACACATCTTTGTGACAATGACCGGGATCGTGCGGACTAAACTTCGAGGGACTTGAAGCCGACTATATTTTATACTTAACGGCAGATATTATCGCCACTACGGACGATACGCGCGAATAATTAAATCGCGGTAATAGATAATCAGCTCGCATTACTCGGGAATGGGATTAATGACTCGCGCGGTAAAGATCCTTGTTCAACTTACTTTCAGCGGCTAAACGGAGCGCGACTGTAAACGTTCGTGCAATGCATTTTGCGTGAAAAAGGTATATTATTTAAGAATAGAAAAATATTTTTTGCAGTTTATTATAAGTTTTATTCTTTTTTAATGAGAATTTAATAGTGTATATCAATGTGTTAATTTATCTTTCATAATAGCCTTCTTAAAATTATTATTAATATTAAAAAAAAAAAAAAATATTTTTATATCTCTTAATAAAATATTTAAAACCTAAAGCCTGAAGAATACATAAGTACCACAAGTTGAAAATTATTAAGTTTTCCTTTTTGTAAAATAAATATCGAAAAATAATGCGCGTGAGAACAGGACATTTTGAAATGAATTTAATTTTCTGCATTGATGATGATAACGAGACAATATTATGAAAGTGTTACGAGATTATTATACATATCTTATGTAACTTCGCTAACTTCTCAAAATGTCTCGCGCAATTCCACGCATTGTGAGCAGACCGTAAAAGACACGGGGTCTGATTTTTTAGCGCGTGTTTGAGATATAGTTTGAGATAACTATAATCTCGCAAATATAAAGAGAGAACGTAAGATTTGCGGCGTGTTAGCACGATTATTCAAGCGGATCCTTTCCTTTTTACCGTCGCTTCGACGCGCAAGTGTTTTTTATTCGACGCCGACCATTAAATACGTATCGTTGGCGTAATTCGAAAACTCTTACATGGTCAGTTTAGCATGTACTTCCCGTACAGAGCGTTACTTTCACGATCGGGACACGGTAAGGAAATGCTTATTCAATCGAAGTGTAACGCGCGGAAAAGGCACGAGAAGCTTAGGCAACGAAATTGC